CAAACCTCCCCCATCTCCCTGGCTGCCTGCAGTAGCCCCTACCTTGCCTCTCTGCTTTCACTCTGAGCCCCCTGCCCAGCTGCCGGCGTCGTGTTTTATAAACAAACATCTGATCGTGCTCCAAATTCTCCCGTGGCTCCCTATGGCCCTCAGGGTAGACTCAGATCCCTAGTCACAAGGCCCTCTCTAGTAGCTGAGGCCTGCCATCCTTCAGCTTTATTGTGTGCTCCTTCTCCCCCTCACGCTGGTCTTTCTTCGGTTGTGAATTAGCCTTTGTTGTATCTCTGCAATCCCTGCGGAGGATGCTCCTCTCTTGGACTTGACTCCAGCAGCCCCCTGGGTGAGCCCATCACAGTGACGGCAGACTGCGTCACATGGGTCTGTTAGCAGGGTGTCCCCAGGGAACCGGGAGCACCCTTCTAGCTGATTCCCCTTTGTCGATGAGGCCTCAGTTAATGTGGTTCCTAAGGGGGTCACCACATTAGACTTTTTTTTTCCTTTTTGAGCGAGAGAACGCACAGGCACGTGCGTGCACACACGTGCGCACGTGTGAGCAGGGAGGGGCAGGGGGAGGGGCCGAGGGAGTGAGAGAATCTCAAGTAGGCTCCATGCTCAGCCCGAGGCCCTGCTGGATCCCAGGACCCCGAGATCATGACCTGGGCCGAAACCAAGAGTCGGTTGCTTAACCGACTGAGCCACCCAGGTGCCCCACCAGGTTAGATTTTTGTCAATACGCTTTCTTAACTTCCTGAACTCTCCCCTGTAGCAGCTACACACTTGTAATTAGTAATTTGTGTAAAGACTTATTGGTGACTTACCTAGAATGCAAATTCCACGGGGGCAGGGGTTTTTGTTCTGTTCACTTCTGAATCCCCAACACCTGAACGGTGCCTGGTACATAGTGGGTGTTCTATCGATATTTGGTGACTGAACGGATGAATAGACTGGAATCGCCTGAAGGGCCTGGACCGGGTCTGTCTTGTTCATTCCCGTTTCTCCAGCACCTAGAGCGGTGCCTGGCATAGAATAAACCCTGTGAGCGTGTGTGTGGTGGGGGGGGGAGGTGAAGCGGGGGAGAGGGAAGGGGAGGAGGATGTCAGGCACAGCTTGGCCTGGGTTGGGAGCCCAGGGAGCTCCCGGTTCCCTGGGGACACCCTGCTCACAGACCCATGTGACGCGGTCTGCCGTCACTGTGATGGGCTCCCCCAGGGGGCTGCTGGAGTCAAGTCCAAGAGAGGAGGATGCCTGGTGGGATGGAAGAGAGGCCAATGTTGAAATGGATGGTGGGCAGAGCTTAGGGGCAAAGCTGGAGCCAGAGAGAGGGCTGTGACCTGTGTTGTGTTGGGGTTCCCCTGGTGTCCCCAAACTGGGCTTTTCCCATGAGCTAGAAGATCATATGTGGGTGAGGTTTCCCCTTGAGAAAACAAGTTCCTTCTCTTCCAAGGCGTCCAGCCCTTCTAGTTTCTGGAAAGCTAGAATGTATTCCAGAGGTTCTCGAGCAGGCAGTCCCCATTATTTAGAGAGCCCCCTACTCCCCGGGGCCTCTCCCTGCGGCCTAGCCTTGCTTAAGGAATCCTTCCTCTGCCTTTTCTCCGTGGGGTCGCTCCCTGCGTTCCAGGGCAATTCGGCACCTTGTCAGGCTGCTTGCGTTTGCATCACAAAACAGTCAAGTCTGTTTTCAAGGGAGAGGAGGGGGAAACATCCACGGGCATGGCTGGGGCCCCAGCCTGGAGCTGGAGCCGAGAAGCAGCTCGGATGACCGTACAGTGAGGGACCACTGCGTCTCAGGGCCCCGCGGTTGTGGTTCCTCCAACAAAGATTCCTTGGGTGTCGTGGAATATCTGCCCACTTCTAGGGACATCTTCAGCACCGTCTCTCAGTAGGGCTTGATCCAGGTATCTTTGATTGAATTAGTAACTCTGGTAGCACAGCGTAAATAGGATACAACAGGAGGGACAGTGTAAATGAGAAAATGGATCATTTATTGGGATTGCCCCGGGCTTTGTTGATGCTGCTACAGTGGGGTCAGAAAGTGCAATCTGCTTTGGCTTTCGGTGATTTCTTCCTGTCCACCCCCTTTCCAAGGAGGTGTCTTCTTGCCTCCAGTGGAGTGAACTGGACTCTATCTCAGGGAAGTCTGCAAGGAAGTGACAAATGCCTCCCTCACCTTTGCGCCCAGGCTCCATCAGCTCTTTGCGGCAAGCTCGCAGCGACCCCAACCTCTCTGGGCTTTAGTGTCTTCATCTGTAAAATGGGGACAGTAGTACCTACTCTCATGGGCCTATTGTGAGGATTTAATGAGCTAACACTTAATCCTTACATTCAGATACATATTTATATACCTAAATGTATTTCAAGGAATTGGCTCACGTGATTGCGGGGGCTGGCGTGTCTGAGACCTGGGTTGCAGGCCAGCAGGCTGGGGACTCAGGTGGGAGCTCATGCCACAGTCTTTAGGCAGAATGTCTTTTTCCCCAGAGAAACCTCAGTTTTGCTCTGAAGGCCTTTCAGTTGATTAGATGAGGCCCACTCACATCAGGACAATCTCCTTTACTGAAAGTCACCTGGTTGTAGGTGTTAACCACATCTACAAAACACCTCCACAGCAACATCTAGATTAGTGATAGACTGAATAAACTGGGTACTCTGGCCAAGCCAAGTTGACATATAAAGCTAGCTGTCAAGCATGACATCCCTAATCCAGCTCACTTGTCCCCATGCATGCAGGTTCACTGACCGGCTGGGCCTGACCTCTGGGAACCTTCCTGCTCACACCTCTGTTTCTCCTCTCCATTCCTGACCTCCCTATATGGCTCTCCTCTTTCTTAGTTCTTTCGTGGGTAGGGATTTTGGAGGGGGGATGTCTTTGGGGTTCTGGAGGTGGCAGAGGGGAAGAAGATGGAAGAAAAGGTCTGGTTGCATGATGGCAGCCTGCTTCTCCTTTCTTCCTATGGACCCTGGTTATTAAAGAGAAGGAGAAGCCAGACATTACCCACTGCCCAGTACATCTTTTGCCAGTCCTCACATGGCTTCCCTAAACTCATTATGCTGAAAGTGTGTCCGTCTCCTTCGCAGTGTTGAATTACATTAAGCAGCCCCCTTTCCTTGCCCCTAGCTCTACCCAATTTATTTCCCTTGATCACGGTAGATGGGGGAAAGAGGGGCTGCCCTATCCTCATGGCTGGTGACTGTCACCCAGCCAGAGTTTGGTTGGAAGATGAGGTAGTGACATGCATTTCTCAATCAATTAGAAAGTGTGTCTCCCTCCTCCCTCCCCCACAGGCTTATAACTCTTTAGCAGCAAACTCCTTATTACATGCAGCTTGTCACAGTCTCCCCGGTTATAAAATTTTATTTTAAAACAGTGTATGCTACATAATATTTACAGATGAAATTATATACTGTTTGGGATTTGCTTCAAAATAATGCAGGAGGGGGAGGTGGGTGGGATACAGTGGAAACCAGATCAGCCATAAATCGATTTGAATCTGGGTGGTAGGCACATGGGGTTTCATTATATTTTCTGTGTACTGTTAAATATGTTTACAATTTTCCATAGTGAAAAAATTAAAGAGGAAAAGATTTTAAAAAGCCCACATTACTGTATGAAATCCTTAAGTATGTTTTCAAATAGTGTTCCTTAAGAATATACTCAAGGTTCCACAGATGTTTGATTAAAATTTCATTTTCTAATATAATCTTAATTCTTTAATTCTTAAAACAGCAGGATGTGGGAATCTCGAGCCGGGGTTGACACTCTGTGAAGCACCGTTTGGCTTCACAGGCCATGTAGACTTCTGTGGGAGTGCAAAAACAGCCATAGGCATTATGCAAGTAAATGTGCGTGGATGTGTTCCAATAAAACTATTTGTGAACATCGAAATTTGAATTTTAGATAATTTTCACCTGTTACTAGTCTTCTTTTGACTTAAAAACGTCATTAAAAAATATAAAAAGTGGTGGGACACCTGCGTGGCTCAGTTGGTTGAGTGTCCAACTCAATCTTGGCGCAGGTCTTGATCTCAGGGTCGTGAGTTCAAGCCCTGTGTTGGGCTCCACACTGGGTGTGGAGCCTACTTATAAATAGATAGATAGATGGAGAGATAGATAGATGGATGGATAGATAGATGCATGCATGCATTCTAAGCCTGTGGGCTTAACAAAAACAAATGGTAGGCTGGATTCTGCTTGTGTGCCATAGTTTGCAGGCCATGAAATAGATGACAGTTTAACACACTAGAAATGACCAACAGGTAATTTGGCCTTCCAGGGTCGGTTTGTTTTCTTGAACAACCAGGGGAATAAAACTTCTGTCATCCCTGGGTATGCTAAAAAACAAAAGAAAACAAAATGCCCAAGGCAGCTACAACATATGTTGATTGAAACAGAATCAAATAATTAAGATATGACAAAAGGATAGAAGTAAAAGTCCCTTTCCTTATTGCCCAGCCCTGGCACACTACCTAGAGGTAACAGCTGGGGTCCCTGTCCTTGGTGATCCCAAGGCACACCTTCCTATCCTTATTCCTCCCCCGAAGGCCAGACATACATCAGTGCTGCTTTGAGGATCAAGCAAGAGACAAAGATAAGCTGACCACTTTCCCAAACATAAAGACTTACACACTTTACATTTTGAGGATCAGACCCCCCCCACTGGCAGGTGAACTCTTGCCCTTAAGTAAGAAGGGAATGGTTGTATGTCTGAACTGAACTGAACTGACAGGTGTCAATGTTGCTTTAAAAAATATGTGATTCATGATACCTGTGAGCAGGATCCCAATAGTGAAACTTGGGCAAACCTTTCTTCCTGCCTCAACTTCCCCAGTCACTCTGGCTCTATTTGGGTCCCCTCTCCAGCTGCTGGGAGCTAAGTTATCTGGTCGATCTGTGGGTCTGATGTCTCCTACATTTTGTTTTGTTTTGTTCCCTCTCTACTTTTTGTTTTGATTTTCTGAGAGTGGACATTAATTTGGCTCTCAGCTTCCTATTTTTTTCCTTAGGGAATCAAACCAGGTTATTTTTGTTCATGAGATGGTGAAATACACTGAATGTAGCGAAGGGAAAAAAGCGTGAAAGAGAGAGAATGCCTGCTGCTTCTGCTGGGATCCTCGCTGGCTGTTCCGGAGTGTTCCGTGGAAAGCACTTAGATATTCAGAACAAAGGGTAAGTGGTGTGTGTGCTGCATTTTTCTTTTAGCACCAGGAGGGAGGAACCTCGGGGACTAGCTGGTCCAGACCCATCCCTTTATAGATGGGGAAGCCAAGGCTTGAAGGGGTAGAAGGCAGGAAATAGGGGAGGGGTGCATGAATGGGGGAGAGATACAGTTTGGGGAGAATGAACAGGTGAGGAGCCTGAGAAAGGCAGGAGCAGGTGCTGCAGGGCATGTGCTGGATGAGAGATGAGGGGGATAGGGCCAGGCCAAAATGGTCCTTGAATGCCCAGCTTAAGATGTGGCCTCCTCTTGGGGATTAAAGGCTACTGGAAGGTTTAGGTGAAGGGTGTTGGGTTCTATTATGCTTCAGAAAGATCTTTCTGTGGAGGAGGGATGCACAACCAGAGACTGGAGGCTGGGGGTCCTAGAGGAGGACAGGAAGGCTGAGCAGCAGATGTGGACCATTGGCGGTGGGGAAAGGGGTGAGACGACATGGTGGCTTGGAGAAAGGCAGAGCCAAGGCAGGGGGCTTCTGTCTGGATGGGGAGATGAGAACGTCTGAATGGTGGCATGAAGAAATCTGTCGAGGGGGAGAGACTGAAGATAGGAGAGGGCTGCCCTGGCGGGATGAGACCATGGGGGTGGTGACCCAGGGCTAGGGGAGGAGAGAGAGAGGACTGAGGTGGCAGGTGCTGGCCTTGACAGCTGGGGACCCAGCTTACAAAGGCTGGCCTGTGACACCCCTGTTCATGGTTGAGGTTCTGGTGTCGGATGCCCCTGACCATGGAGGCACTGACGGCTGAGAGGATAAGCCAGGTGGATGAGCTCTGGACCCTGGGGATTCCACTCTGTTCCCCGCCCCCCTCCCCCCCCCCCCTTGGAAGGAGATAGAATCAAACTTGTGCTGGTTACTGTTCAGTGCTGGTGGATGTGAGAAAGTGGAAAACCTAATGACCAACATGAAAAAAAACAAAACAAAACACGCTCGCTGATGTCTGGAAGCATCCTCTCAGCATCCCTGCATTTAATCTTATGTCTTTGGCCAGGTTCCCTACATGACATGACGTGCCATATTTATTTCAGAGCCTTTCCAATTTCTGACAATTAGTTTCTTGGCCATTAAGCTGGGCTGGAGCAGGAATACTTTAATGTGCTAATATATCTCGTCGGTTACATAAGTTCCCTCATAAGTAAGCTCTGTGATCCCCAAAAGTGTCCGTGTGAAAGCTTAAACGGACTCATCAGTTTCTCAGCCTGTCTTCCTGGAAGGTCAGCCTTGAGGCAAATTGTAGCTTTGTCACCACTGATCTCACGGCCCTTCCACCACGTTTGCCTCATTTTTGAGCATGAGGACCTTAGAATCATGGAGTTACAGTATTCAAATCAATTTGACAAGGAAGTGGGGGCAGCAGAGGGAGGGCCTTCCTGGTGGAGAGGGAGCCCAGATGGACACGTGGAGGGTGACGAGAGCCTGGCCCTTCAGAGAGCTGAAGCCTGCAGCCAAGGGGCTGAGACACAGCTGGGCTGGGGGTGGATGAGTCCCAGTCACGGGAGGATTTTACACAAGGAGAGGCATGGTCAGGCTGCCCCCAAGAGAGATATTTCAGCTGCATGGCAGAGGGTGCAGGGAGGGAGGGGAGGTAGGCAGCAGTGCCGCTGAGCATGGCCAGCTCCCGCACCCCAATCAGAGCCCGTTAAGATCAGCTTCATAATTTTGGAGCCCAATCCAAAGTGAAAAAGAGAAGCCTCTTATTCAAAATTTAAGTACAATGGAATATTATTCAGCCATAGAAAGGAATGGAATGCTGATGTGTGCCCCCACACGGGTGGACCTCAAAAACATTCCCCTAACTAGAAAAAGCCAGACACAAAAGGTCACACATTTCATGATTTCACTCCTGTGAAACATCCAGAAGAGGTAAATCCGCAGAGACAGAAAGTAGATCAGTGCTTGCGTGGGGCTGGGGGCTGTGGGGAATGAGGAGTGCTTCAATGGGAATGGGGTTTGCATTTGGATGAGGAAATGGTTTTGGAGCTAGATAGAGGTGGTGCGCACACAAGATCATGAGTGCACTCTATGCCACTGAATGGTATACTGTAAAACGGTTACTTTTATGTTCTGTGAATTCTACCTCAATAGAAAATATATATTCACCGAGGCTGGGGATTAGGATGTAGACATCTTTTGGGGGACGGGGAGGGGAGAGCATTATGCTGCCTGCCCCACGCTTCTCGAGTGATGTCGTATTTCTGACCCAGTAGACCTAGAGCCAGATTCTTCCAAAAGGCTTAATTTCTTGATAGGGCTCAGAAGTTCTTTTACACTTTTTAGATAAACTGTCCTGCTATCGTGTGTGTGCATGTGTGTGCATGTGTGTATGTGCATGAACATCTGTTGATTACAGTAATAGCTACTATGAATATATAATAGGTAGCTTGGACATTTTGGGTGGATGTCATGAATTCCATGCCAGAATTATGTGTCATTAGCTACTCTAAATTCACCTAGTGTGGAAAGAGAGAGGCTGGTGTTATAGAAGCCTGAAGGACCACAAGGGCAGGGTGCGAGCTCAATTATGTAGTCTAAGTCTCTTATTTGATACATCACAGGAGTTGAGAATTGCAGGAAAACTTCTCTAAGTGCCCTGATGATCTTCCAGCCCAAATGGACTACTTTGAGTGAGGGGAGGTCGCTACCTGTGCTCACAGATTACTCCAAGACTCCAGTGCCTACAATATTTTTATTTTCCTGCACCTGAAAGATGCCTCTCTCTGCTTTATACCCACAGGTCCAGTGTTTCCTCTGGGGCACACTGGTTACTCTTCTGCAGGGAGGTGATGACAGAGATCCTGTCCCTTCCTCTTAAAGCTAAATATCCCCTGTTATCTTGCAAGCTTCTTCATAGCCTGTCCATCCTTCCTGGGCACACTGCCAAGGAAATGTATTCACATTCATGTTAAGACCTGGTGACCCCCATCCCAAATCCTCCTCCTCTTCTCCTCTACCCAGTCTCCTTCTCGGGGTGCCTCCCCTCCTTCTCTAGGCCATTTTATACAGAGGCCTTTCTTCTGATTCTTTACTCCACAGTGGGGCTTGTTGGTCTCCTAGGAAAACGAAACCCTGCCCTATATGAGAAACACTGACCTTGCTGACTCTGAAAGGGAATGGGTCAGTTATGGGCTGAATTATACCCCCTGCACCCAATTTATATGCTGAGTTCTAAACCCAGGACCTCAGAATGTGACTATATTTGGAGATAGGACCTTTAGAGTGGTAATTAAGGTAAAAATGAGGTCATAGGGGTGGGCCTTAATCCCCTAGGACTGGTCCTTATGAGATTAGGACACATATGCACACACACGGAGGAAGGGAGAAGGAGGCTGTCTGCAAGCAAAGGAGAGAGGCCTCAGCAGAAATCAACCCTACTACTGACACCTTGATCTTGGACTCCTAGTCTCCAAAATGGGAGGAAATCAATTTCTGTTGTTTGGGCCACCCAGTCTCTGGCGGCCCTTACATTAGTCATCAGAGCCCCCCCAGTTGGCCTCTCCTCCTTCTCAGAGGGGTCACTCTCTGCACCGCCCCCACCTCCTACCTGCCCAGCAAAGAGAAGGTGACTTCTGACTGAGGCAGAAAAAGCCCAAAACCCAGAGACAAAAGCATGGTTTAAATTCCCAGCAGGCTGCCTGCCCACTGGATAAGTCATGGCAAAGCTTTGGCAGTATCCTTTGCTTCTCTAGGAACTTGAATCCTAATTTTAGTGTCTTGTTTATAGATTCTCTCAACCCCCTCTGGACTGTGGGGTTATTGTCCCCAGGTGCCCAGAGTAGCAGCTCTGACTTAACTGCTAGTTTCTGATGGAAATTGGATTTGATAAGGCTACCAGCAGGGGCCTTGTGGGAAGCAACATGGGTTTGGTCATACTCTAGCAATGCTTCCGGGTGCTTGTGGTTCAGGGGTGAGATGATGTCTCCCAGGCATCACTCCCCATCAGCACTGGACAGTGGCCCAAGGGCCTGGGTGGGGCCTGCCATCCAGAATGCTGCTAGGAGGAGGGAGGGTGGGGTGGGTTTCAAGCACCAGCAGCTTGGAGTTCCCACCCAAGCAGAGTCGTCGCCACATAGGGTCTCGCATGTGCCCTCCTGGGGATCATTGCTTTGCGGTGCAGTGCTCTGAGCTCATTATCAGCTGGATGCCTGAGCTACATTAAGAGCAGAACAAAGTTCATCTCCGTGGCTTCACTCTAGCTGGTGTCTCAAGCCAGGCATTGATTATAGAAGTTGGGAAAGGCCAGTGCAGAAAGCAAACACGGCCCTCTGATTGGCTGAGTGAGGTCACTGGGAGCAAACAAGACGGAAGGATGGGAGGTGGGGGTCTGGAAACGAGCGTCCCAGGTCGAACCCTTATTACTGACAGCCAGCTTCCTTCCATGTTCACTGCTGTAGGGCAAAACTAATTGTCTTGGTTACGGAGTCTGTTTTCTTCCAGGACCAAAGGGCAGATGTATTAATGTCTGTTTGTGTCAAATGCAGGGGATAGGAAGGAGAATGAGGGATTCAAATAGAGGGTCAAATATTGACCTGGCTGGGGCTGGGTGATTTAGGGGGCAGGGGGAGGGTCAGCAATGTGCACATAACTGGGTGTCTCCATCACTCACCCCTCAGGCTGAATGAAGCACAGCTCCGAGCCCACTTTGGACAGCACTGAGTATTAATGAGCAGGGTTCTGAGATTCAGACCCCAGCTACTGCTCCTTAACTGGATGAGTTTTGTGGCTACTGCCATCGTCATCCCTGGGGCACATTCTGTGGTAGAAGGTCGAAAATTAAGGCACAGTGCGGTGTGCTGTCTTTACATCTGGTGAATCTGGGAGGCTTTGCCTGGCCTGATGGCAAATTCCCGTTTCCACTCTGCTTCCACAGGTAAGGTCGCCTTGCTGAACAGCCCTCCTCATCAAGGGGACCAGGTGCAGTCCCTGCTTATCCCTGAGTAGCGGATTTCAGTTCCCTGCCAGATCGTGGAATTATTCAAAGAAGCCAATCACATCCTCACTCTGTTGATAATACAGGCCTGCCTCCCACAGCCCTCGGTGGTTCACTCTGCTCCAGACTACAATGCCCATGTAGCGGGTGTGACAGGCACCTGGGCTGTGAGTATATGTGATCAGCAAACTACCGTCCATCATATCCATCCAGGGTCGAGTGTTGTGTATTTGGCCGTTCATCCCCATAACCCTGGGGCAGGAATATCTCCCCTACCAACAGGGTGGTTAAAGCATACTCTCCCCAGCCATGCCTGACAGCTGTCATGTTAGGCTCTCTGGAGAATGGAACGTGTCTCGGTTTAATTCAATCAAGCCTTTGAGTTGCTCCGACCAGGTTCCCCTTAGGCTGGGTCGGAGAGCACCATTTGGGGACAAGCCTTCCTGCTCTCACCTCTGAGGTCGTTTTCTGCTCCTTCCCTGATCCAGGGCACAAGGTCGAGTACCTCGTGAGCTCTATTAGCAATCCATAGGCCCTCCTCCTCTCTTCTCTTCAGAGGCACTGATAAAATCAGACCTCGGCGGGGAGGGGGCTGGCTTGGTGTGCCAGCATCCCCATAGTTCAGATGCTTCTTTTCTCTGTGAATGAATGAGCAAGAGGGAGTCATAAATGTGTGATAGGGAACTTGGCTTGTTGCTCCCTAGGGGTCCCTAGTTATGATGAAAGGCACTGCACAGCAGGGGTTGCTGGTCCTCTGCCCGCATCCCCTACGCTGGAGACTCTTGAGCATGCTGATGGCTTCCTATGGCAAGTTCCTGCAACTCCACCTGAGGGTTTTTGCTGCCTGCAGAAGCTTGTTGGTGCATGGGGCAGGTTGTAATGCTGGGAAAATTACACCCGTGGGAGCAGCACTCAACCAATGATGCATGGAAATTGGTGGGTAGAATTTTAGCTCCCTCACCCCTTGGGTGGAATAACTCTAAGGTATGTTCCACGTCAGCATTGAACAATAGAAATACAATATGGACCATAAATGTGAGCCACATATGTTCTTTTAAGGCAAGCAGAAACAGGAAAGATCAATTTTAGTACTATATTTTAACCCGGTATATCCAAAATATTGTCATCTCAATTCATAAGTGATATAAAAATCATTAACGAGGTATTTTACTTTTTTTAATACTAGGTCTTCAAACTCTGGTGTGTATTTTATATCTACTCTACATCTCACTTTGGACAGCCACATTTCAAGTCCTCAGTAGCTCCACGTGGCGAGTGTATTGACCAACACCATCTCTAGATCTCTACTATCTCCTAGAGGTTCCCTGGAGGGATTAAGCAAAAATTCCCCACAGTGATAACCTGTTGATTAATGTCCCATATTAGCTTCCTTCCTTTCCCTATCTCAATTCCCCACTCTCCAACTAGAGGTTCCTAATAGCACCTCCAGAATCAGGGTCTGCTTTCGGGGATCCCTTCCTAAGACAGGCAGTCATGAGATCACGGATGTTCCAGAGAGTAGCACCAGGACTCCTGGGTGAAAGTATCAGGAGAGTTATTAGATCAGCACCAGAGCTGTTCATTCATTCATTCATTCATTCATTCATTCATTCATTCATTCATTCATCCATCCATCCATCCATCCATTCATTCACTCACTCACTCACTCACTCACTCACTCACTCACACACTCACTCACTCATTCAGAATTATGTATTGAGCTCTTGCTATGTGCATTGCACTATGCTGGCCACTGTCCAAAAGGGGAGTGAGTATGAAGCTCCCCATTACAAGGGGTGGTCCAGGAAGATTCAGACTGGCTTCTTGGTGGAGCAGCTCCACAAGGACTTTATGAATCAGACTAGGATTTTGATCACATGCTGTCTGGCATCCTTTGTAGCCTATAGACATTGCCTTCCATGATTCATCTGTGCCTCTGAGAAGCTTCTCACGTTGTTAATTGCCTGTCTCCCATGGCACGCTGCTCCCTAAAACTGCAAATCAAGGTTTTTGTGACATTTCTTCTCTAGCAGTGACTTGTGATTAGGTTGTTGTTCCTAAAAAAGGTTCATCCCTCATCATCTTTGCAATTTCCCTTTGATTTTCTTGTTTGGCAAATTGCGGTTCTCCAGATAAAGACTGGTTTGGAGACTGTTCACTTTCCCCCTTCATTACTCAGCTGGAAAACACACCTAAGCCTCCTGTTGCTGGAAGGGACCTCAGAGACCATCTGGCTCAATGTTTTCATTTCAGAGATCGGGGACCGAGGGCTGGAAAGGGAGAATTGCTTGCCCAAAGCCCCATGGTAGAGCAACAGCACAGCTGAGATGGAAGGAAAGTGTCTGAGGTCTCTGCAGTCTCTTCCCCAACTTGGCCTCAGCCATCCTAGCTGCCATCCATGGGGCTGGCCAGGCTCCAGCCAATGCCACACTGGGAGGTTGAATACGCCCCGGAGGGAACTGGTGTTGTTCATGATGGTTGAGAAGGATTTTAGTCCTGAATTGCTCTGAGGCCTTTGGGGGAGGCCACACTTGAGTTAAGACTTGGATCAAGATTCTAGCTCTTCCTCTGATGGCCATGGGACTCTCACTGGGTCACCTTGCCTCTCTGGGCATCAGTTTCTACTTCTGCAAAGTAGCAATGATGACCATAATAACTGTTACCACACTTTGATCTGGTGATAGAGGACAAATCAATCCTTGTCCCAGCCTGCAAGGTCTGGCCTCTGTTGAACTCCATTTCCTCTCATGCCAACCTGTCCTTTGGTCTCAGGACTCAGGCCTCTTGGGCTTTTTCTCAGTCTTTCAAGCATGCTGGAGTTTTCCTGCCACTGGGCCTTTGTCTATACTGTTTCTTGTCTGCTAACAATGCTCTTTGAACCACCTTCTCTTTAACTGCTTGTCTATGTAATAGCTGCTCATTCTTCAGATCTTACCTCAAGAATGACCTCAGAGAACACTCCCTGGGCCCCCAGATGATTCCAGGCTCCCTGTTACATCACTGTGCATCTCTCTCTCAGTGCATCTGTCTCAGTGCTTCATTAAACTCTAATTGGTGTGATTATCTGATTTTTGTCTGCCTCGTGCATTGGACTGTAAACTCCATGAGGGTATTTTTGGCACTTAGCATCCAGCCTAGCAGATAGAAGATGCACAATACATATTTCACTGAGGTTTAAATGTGAAAAGTCCTTTTGAAATATAATTGTTCATCTAATCCTGTGGGTCACCTTGTGAGGGAGGGATTGTTATTGTACCTTGTGGCAGAGATGGTATTGCTTACCAAAGATTCCATTTGTTTTCTTATATTTCTTGGCTCCTTTGGAGTTATGCAGAGCCAGGTGACTAGTTCTGGCCAATAAAATATGAGTGGGAGTCAAACGTGTCACTTCTGAGGTAGTAATTTAGTTCTTCCCTTGCCGTATGAATACAGATGCCCATGTTCCAGATGGTTCTGCTACAAGATGGTGGAGACTCTTGTCAGTCTGTGTGACTGTGTTGAGCAGAGCTCCTCACAGGCTCACCTTGGATATTATGGACAAGAAATAAATTTTTGTGGTGTAAAGGCATTGATTTTTTTAGCTTTGTTTGTTATGCAGCAAAGCTTAGTGGATTGTGACTAATGCACTCCCATTTTTTTCAGGTAAGAAAACTGAGCCTCAGAGAGGGGAGGTGACATGCTCAAAGTCACTGGAGCTATGGGCAGAGCTGCGATTCTGCCCCTGGTGGTCTCATGGGGTCATGTGGACAAAGGTAAAAAAAAAAAAAAAAAAGTCTATAATATTGAAAACTGTAAACTGCTGTGTAAGAAGAGATTTCTAAGAGGTTTTCCAAAGGTCTGGTCTAGGGGTTCTGTGGCCCACATTGCGAGGTGGAAGTAAGGATACAGAGATGCCACCAGGACCTGCTGGTCTGGAGAATCTTGTGCTACCTTCTGAGTCTGAGGTTCTTGCTTCACAGAGACTAGTGAGTGGCAGTTGATAGCTGTGAACATTGAGCGTGAACACTGGCCCACTTCCCAGCCCTCCTTCCTGTCCCCACCATGGGACTCTTTTGTCCTAAATGCCATAAGTTTTATGGGTCAGTTAGTCCAGCTCTTTACTAGCCATTATGTCCCCTGGACCTGGTGCTCAGCCAGTGGTCACCCAATCTACATGGGAGCACATTCTGCATTTCCAAACCAGACTGGAGGTGAGTCAGACTGCCCAAACTGGACCTCACATCCCTTTTTCTCCATCCCCTCCTCACTACCAGCTCTCACAACACAGATGCCAGTCCAACCAAAAGCCTTTCAAAAGAAGGGACGTGCATTCTGGGCAGAGGAAATAGCTTGAGCCAAGGCAGGGAGCTATCAGAGAACTTGGTATAGCAGAGACAACAGTTATGAACCAGTATTTTTAACTTTCCCTGATTCTACAGGGAAGAATTCTGGCCTGCTTGGTCAGCTCCTGAGCTCACCTTTGTTGTTTAGAATCCAGGTAAAGTAGGAAATGGACAGAAGGCACCAAAGCTGTGAGAGGGTTAAGGTGGTTGACTCAGTAAAGAGCTAATATGGGAACATATGGAGGGGGCGAGAAATAGAAAAGCCTCATGGTCTGGAGGTTGAGAGTGAGTGAAAGAGAGAGAGCGAGTTTCCGGGAGATGCTATGTGAGAGATAGTGAAAGCAGCAGTAAAGAGGAGGTTTTAAAGATGTGTGTTATGTACTATGGACACATGTCTCCCTTTGAAACTCTTGGAGAGGCTGAGTAAATATTTGAAGTACATTACCTTACTTTTTGGTTGCTGGACTGTTTCTTTCAATTGAACACTGTGTTGAGACTGGACCAAGTGGCCCACATCCATACTTGGGTTACATGATGTTTGGGATTGGACCTGTGAGCAGCCAGTGTCAAGATCATGGTCGAGGGCAGTACTCAGGGCGGAGAATATCAGGATGTGAAGCTGTAGGGGTTGATAAGAGTCTTCAGAGCAGTGCTAAACTTATTTGAATTCCCAAGGGCCTCTAGGTCACCCAGGTCCTGCCTGCTGCTGTGTTCTTTACCTAGTGATTGTGTGTGGGAGTAATAGTAATAATATTTGCTCACATTTGCCATTGAACTTACCACATACCTGGAGGATTTCTAAAAGCTTTACCCATATTTTCTCTGTAATCCTCACAACTACCCAATGAAGCAGGTATTATTATCATCTGCATTTTATAAGTGAAGGAATCGAGGCATGGAGAGGCTAAGTGATTTACCCAAGGTTACACCACTGGGAATTGGTGGAGCCTGTATTTGAGTCCAGGTAGTTTCACTCTTAATAACTATGATAAGGTTCAAAGCAATTGTTTTTAAAGGGAGGGAGGCTTTGGAAATCTCTGCAACATTTTCCCTATCCTTTATCCTCTTTCTTCCTTTCCCCTCCCCTCTCTCTTTTGTAAAGGACTTACTATAGCATTATGTGAATTTATTGGATTCATAATATGGTTTACAGAGGCAACAGTTTTAGTTAAAGAAAATTGGCTTCCTTTTCAAAATGTCATGTTTCTCATTTTCTCTGAGCATCTTGGGCTTTTTTCAAACTCCCCTCAGCTCCTAAGTCATTCAGAAGCATGCTTCACAATTAGAATGCTAGAAACCCTCAACTGGCCAATTTAGGTTTTGTGATTTGTTCAATAGGACACTTAAAATAAACCCAGGAGTTGATTGTGAAGGAGAGGAATGAGTGGGAGCTAGAGGGGAGAGGAAAAGAAGCAAGTGTGAGGTAGTTGGAGAGATGAGGGGCTCCATTCTCCATCCATAAATGATTCAGCCATCTGTTTACATACCCTTCCAAAGGTACAGACATCCTCATTTATCCCTTCCTCCATCCATCCATCCGTCTATCCGTCAATCCAATCAGATCCCTGTATATTCTTCATCCATCCATCTTGGCTTTGGCTCATTCTGTAGCACCTCAGTGGAGTGATGCTCATACTAGTTCTCAGGAATGTATCTGGAATGGCTGATCCATTACCATTTGCTGAACATCCTCCACATGCTGAGAATTGTTCTAGAGAGTTTATAAGCTTGAAGGTGTGTTTGTGTTCCTAACATTCCCAACAACCCTACAGAAGTGAAGCTCAGAAGAGTTAAATATTTTTCCCAAGATCACACAGCTAATGAGAATCAAAACAGAAACAGGGAAGGTGGAGAGGGGAGGGCTGGGAACTGGCCCAAGGTTTTCTTTTGACATGGGCTGGGTTTTGGGGAACTGATTTAGAGAAGATAGAGACACAGGAAGTTCAGTCAAGTGGGGTATGCACTAGTATCCAGAGGTATATCAGTCAGCTATTGCTGCATAACAAACCACCCCCAAATTCTCACTTCTATCTCCCAGAAAATTTTAAGGATTTGGAGGTTATCTTCTAGGAGCCAGGAACAAAGGCCAGGATCTCTCCTTGGGCAAAGCTAAATTCTTTACCACATGAGATTAAAGTTTGAGAAGTGTTGTTTAGGAAGAGGGGTAGAAGAGAGGTGGAATCTTGTTTCTTTGATCCTTGGATGTCTTTTCCTTTGGACAAGCTTAGGAAAAGATGGCATATTAACAGCTTCTCCATCCATGGTTGTTAAACTTTTCCCCTCCTGCTCCTTATTCTCCTCCTCCAAAGCAGAGCTCCTAGACTTGTTCTTCTCTATGGACCCCTCCCCACCAAGTCAGGTGAGACTTATGGACCTCTGCTCAGTAAAAAGGTTTTAAATGCATAACAAATACACAGGATTCCAAAGGAAACCAATTATATTGAAAGACAGTTATCTAGGGGCGCCTGGGTGGCTCAGTTAGTTAAGTGTCTGACTCTTGATCTCAGCTTGGGTCATGATCTCAGGGCTGTAAATTTAAGCCCCGCATTTAGCTCCACACTGGGTGTGGAGCCTACTTAAAAAAAAAAGAAAAAAGGAAAGATAGTTATCTAAATATTAGGGAAACTATTTTGTAAAAAGTGTTCTTCTTTATCAACACTTTATCAACCTAGTGGAGAGTTTAAAGTAGTGTTGAATGTAAATATTTCAAAATATCTGAAATATATAGCAGCTGTTAGGTGATGTGAAAAAATCCATGGGTTTAATTGGTGAAAGCCCAGGTCCTTCTAATACTACTTGTGGCTTGTTGCCTATATTCCTAATAGAAGAAAATATTAAACTTCAGTCAGAGGTTAGTGGGAAAAAAGACTAATTTTTTTCCTGCCCAAGTTCATAAATCACTTAATTTTATCCATAGACCCCTAGAACCCAGGCGAAGAATCCCTGCTTCAAAGTCTTGCATGATATGAACTTATTTTAATTGGATACTGAATGAAAATTCAATTCGTTTTGAGAAACTTTTGAGAAGTTTGTAAGAATCATTGAGATAATTAGAGGCACCCTGGAGCTGTGCACAACTTGAACTGGGACTTGGTGTACTGGTGCCTGGTGGATTTATGGATAAGTGGGAAGGGGGTTGATGGCCTATAATCCCCTCTCTGGAAAGCTATATTGTGTGGCATGGCTCAAAGGTGGGCATGATTTTCCTATTATCAGTAATGACATTTAAATTTATTCAACCCAAAAGCACTGGCCCAATGCCAGGGTGAGGATGGAAGAAAAATATATGAAAATTAAGAAAAGCTGAAAGAAAACCAACTGTGCACAGCCTTTGGGAAATCCATTTGTAGCCACCCAGAGTCAGTGAGTCCATCTGGAGAAAGCTGAAATTTCCACACTTTTCAAGACAGAAAAAGAATGGATGAGACCCAAGAGCAAGACTAATGTTTTAAGAAAAGGCATTTCCAGCATGACCCACAAAGATTTTGATTATGTTAATCATTTTTTTTTTTTTTTACATAATTTTCACTGGCACTGTCGAACCTTCCACTCACAGAAGGGTTTTCCTCTGTGTTCCTTTTTAAGGGATATGAAGGCAGACATTGAGTGTCGGATGCATTCCAATGCTGTCAGAGCAGAGCGTTTCCTCAGGAACTCAGGGGCCACGAACCCTTTCAATGTTTTTATGTATTGGCACCAGCCCCTGTCCCGCAGGTGACAGACAGGCTCTAAGCATGGATCCCCTTAGGGGCCCAGTCAGGATGGAAGCCTAGTGGTGAGGTTGGGGAACATTGTTAGCGGGACCTCTTGAATTGTCAGAAGTTCGACAATGCGAAGGTGAGACGGAGAGACCGTCCTCTCTGTGCTTAGGCCAACTTGCTGTCTCAAAGCCCACCTGAGAGCCTGCACACTAACATTTGAGTCACTGGAGGCTTCCTGAAAACCCAGGAAATGGAAGGTAGGGAGCCCTCTGCCCTTTGGGGCATCAAACCAATGTACGCTGCCCTGGTGTAGGGCTGAGCCCACCACCCAGACCCCCAGGAAGAGATGGCATCAGCATTGGAGGGGAACTGAAGGTGCCTGTTACCCTTTGAAGGTTGGGTTGTTCCTTAAATGCATTGTGTCCAAGAGGGAACTCAACCCCATAAATATTCCATCAGTGCATCCTACCAATTTCATCTCCTAATTATCTTTGAAATCTATCCGCTTCTCTCCATGTCCACCAACCACTCCCTAGTTCCAGCTGCCATCAGCCATCTCCAAGCATCTAGAATCTAAGCAACTGCAATGAGCTCATCACTGATCTCTGTCTCACTCTGCCCATTGCCTTGATTTTCCTGTGAACCTTTATAAGCAAAGGAGAGACAAATGCGTTGTTGAGTAGCTACCATAGTTTAATTCTTTAATTAATCAATTCATTTAATATTTGTTGAGGACCTTCGATGTCCTACAAGTTCTTTTTGGAGCCTGTCCACCTGGGATGTGTGGTTACCGTCTCTGGTGGCCGTAAGCATTAACCTGCAACCATCGCAAAGTTCAGTGCCTCCATTCTTAGTAAAGGGTGATTATCAAAGCTTAATCATTTTACTTTCTCAGTGTAGTGATGAAATATTTAAAACAGAATGAGGAATTTGGAAAGAAGAAAACCAAGAAACAACCACCTCAAACTAACACACATGAACATTTAATCATATTTGCTTTAAATATATATATATATTTAAGGTTTTTATTTATTTATTTTGAGAGAGAGAGAGAGAGCATGAGCAGAGGGGAGGGACAGAGGGAGAAGTGGACTCCCCACTGAGCAGGGAGCCCGATGTGGGACTCGATCCCAGGACTCTGGGATCATGACCTGAGCTGAAGGCAGACAGTTAACCAACTGAGACAGAAATATATATATATATATAATATATATGTATATATTTTTTTGAGAGACAGAGAGAGAGAGCACGCACACATACACACACACAAGTGTGGGGGGGCAGAGGTAGAGAGAGAGAGAGAGTAATCCCAAGCAGGCTCCTTGCCCAGCACAGAGCCCAATGCGGGGCCTGATCTCATGACCCTGAGATCACAACCTGAGCTGAAATCAAGAGTCAGATGCTTAATTGACTGAGCCACCCAGGCGCCCCTGCTTTGAATATTTCTTAAAAAGATAAGTAAAATGCTATGCACAATGCTGTAAGTGCCCCTTTGTGCCCCTCCTCAATCCTATTCTCCATTCCTCCAGGTAGATCCTGTCCTCAATTGACATATTCTTCTTGCTCATGTTTTAATATCTCTCTCTTTGCCTTTGTGAATTTAAAAAAATTAACGTAAGTGATACCATGCTGTAAATATTTTGAAGCTTGATTTAAAAATTCAAACATTGGGGGCACCTGGGTGACTCCGTTGGTTAAGCATCTGCCTTTGGCTCAGGTCAGGATCCCAGGATCCTGGGATCGAGCCCTGCATCAGGCTCCTTGCTCAGCGGGGAGTCTGCTTCTCCCTCTCCCTCTGCCCCTCCCCCTGCTTCTGCTGTCGCTCTCAAACGAATAAATAAAATCTTGAAAAATTTCAAACATTTAGTTTTAGAAATTCATCCATGCTAATGACATAGATCAAGTACATACGTTTTAACGGCCATGTAGTATTCCAGCCTATGAATCCATCACACTTTGCCTCTATGTTTCTCTACTGAGAGATATTTAGGTTGTCCATATTTTTGTTTCTGATGACAAACAAAGCTGCAGTAAACATCTTTATATCTCTGTCCTTGAGCACAGACAAAGGATATTTATGTCTTTAGTCTTTACCAGTTACTGACAAATGGCTTTCTAAAGAGGCTATCTTGTCATGTGGCAGGGAAGTTCTAGGACTGGGAATCAGGTGACTTAGTTCTAGTCTAATTCTGGCATCTACTCACAGTGTGACCTCCAGCTTCCCCCTCCTTGGCCTCAGTTTCCCCATCATTAAGATGAAGGTCTGGACTAGCAGATTTCTGTAGTTCCTTCTCCTGGGCTGGCTACAAAAAGATGTTTTGTGGAAATATCTGCTCTCCTGGAAACAAAGAAATGTCCCAGAGGTGAGTTTGCCGTAAGCCCCAGAGAGGGGTTTATTGTGGAAGGCAGTTGACACTTCGAGCTCCTACCAAGTGTTGGGCACTTTCATTTTTCATTTACTTGACTCAGGAGATTAAATGGTTTGTTCAAGACCACAGAGCTAGGAATGATCAGAACTAGACTTGAACCCAGGACTGCGGGATTCCAGAGCCTGAGTTCTGCTTTTGCTCTGCCACAGGGCAAGTTCCTTCCCAACATCCCCATCTGGGTTGTTGGAATGCTGTTCTTCTTGGGAGTCAGTGGGCAGGCCATTGATGCCAAGGGGCCCCAGCCTTGGACCCTGCCCCAGGAATGCAGAGCTGAGCCTTGTAGATGTGAGGAGGGTGTAAGAAGGAGCCCTCCTTTGGAGGGAAGAGAAGGAGCAAGTGGGACTGAGCCAGAGGCTTAGGACACCACAGAAGCATGAACTCTGAAGGCATTTATCCTCTGACCACAGCCAATGAACCAGTGAGGAACAGGCATCAATAAGAAGCAAATTAAAAACCAGCTCCAGTTAATTAGTAAGCACAGCTGCTTGCTTTCCTGTATTCAATTTCAGACTCACATTATGAATTGCCTCCCTGGAGAAACCAACCCCTCCTCCCCCAAAAAAGGCCTTGATCCAATAAACCAACTTTTAACGGAGCAGCATCTTTCAATCGAAGGACGATGGCAACTTATCTCTGGGTCCCAGCTCTGTAGTGACACGAATTCTCTGAGCTGCCCAATCTCACTCAAGGTTAGTAATTAAGGCATAATTGAAATGAAATTAATTGCAATAAATGTGTAATTAGCACAGCCATTGATTAAGGGCATTTGAAATACAGTCTGTGCATGAGACATTGATTGCCATGCTTTTTTTGATAAATGTGATTGCAGTGATATCTTTTGTTACTCCAGAAGGTCTTTTTTGTGTAATGAATTTCCACTGGAAGGACTAGCCTTGAAGCCATCTGATTTCCTAAAATTCAGAGATATATAGAGAATATTCCAGGCCCCACATGTGTTGAGTACAAGCTCTTTTGCCCAGATTTTGTATAGGATCTGTTTCAGGGTGGCTCCCTGGCCCATAGGCATCTTTGTTCAAATTAGAGATAGGCACTCCTTACTTTGGGTAGACCCAGCTCATGCTAGGTGCACAACTTGGCCAGTGGAGCATGGGCTGGATTTCAACACTCACTGTTCCATCCAGCTGGGCACATTTGCGCAGTGAGCAACTTTTACATCCATACATGGCAGACTTGGTATCCTTCTCCATGTAGAGGGAGATAACAGGAAGGCAGAACCAGACCTTATTGGCTTGAAGCTTGTCTTGGGATCAAAGCCTACAGATGCCTTCCTCTCCCAAGCCACTCTAATTGGTTAAATGTTATGCAGAAATTGCCATCTGAAATGCTGGGACGTTAGCAGTAGCCACAAGGGAAGACAGTGGGACTGGGCTAGGTAAGGCCTGGGGGTGGGTTGGGGTATAATCTGGCCACAGAACTGAGTGGTGGGCAGGTGGTAGCAGTCCCAGGCAGTCTGTCCTAACCACACTATTAGGGGAGGCATGTTAACTTGAGGACAGTCAGGCTGGACAATGCAGGGGTCAGACGTGGTAGAGGGATGGACAGGACCTGCCAGATGAGTTGGTGGGAAGTAGGACTGGGGTTCCTTGGGGTCCCACACTGAGTCTGGGACAGTGGGGTCCAGGTCTGAGTCAGTTGGGGGAGAATATAGTATGTTAGGGTAGCTGATCTACTCCAGGCCCTGCCCTTGGATGGGGCTGACCTAGGCTGGGTGACAAGGGGCTGAAGGTCATGTCTTCATGTCTGCAGCTCAGTGATGACCATTCCTCCTCAGCTTTCTGGGTCTGAAGGGGAATGGCTGGTCCTGAGCGATCCTGAGGCCTTCCCTCTGTGAGTGTCTGCTCTTCATATTGAGGAGTTTACTCATTCATTCAACTTTTTTCATTCATACATCCTGTAAATATTTAGTGGGTGTCTTCTATATGCATGTGCTCTGCTGCTGGGAATAAAGTTGTGACCTAGTCCCTCATGGAGTTCAAGATGGAATGTGCCAAGCTTTCAATAATCAGGCTTGCATATCCCCCTAATTATAAGGTGGAACCAGGTGTGCTGGCTGCTGTTTGCCTCTCCAGATCCACACTCTACCTTCCTCCCTCTACCCTCCTCTGTGCCCTGGAGGCTGATCACTGTGGACGACATCAATGGCTTTTCTGTTCTCTGCTTTTAGAGACTGGGCCAAAGGGGGCCTGACCAGAGACCAGAGGGAGAGAGGGAGGGAAATGGGGTATTTATTCCCCCAGATCTCTGGGACTTGGCTGTGTCCTTACTGAATGGCACATCTCTCCACCCAGCTGTCAGATTCTGGTACAGCTTCCTCCCCATGAGGCCAAGGGGTGTTAATGATGTTCCACTGTTCTTAGCTCTGGAGCACTGCATGAGCCTCTGTGTTTCCCTTCCTCTTGACCATGGTCTCTTTAAAATCTTGGGTTACCCGGACTGGCTGTGCCATGTTTCTCCTGAGGGATTGACTAGGTTGGTAGAAGTGCAGGGGACTATGAGAAGGGACCGTGGGGAGCACTGGCTTGATCTAGTGTGCAAGTGTGTGTGTGTGTGTGTGTGTGTGTGTGTGTGTGAAAGAATGCTTCTTTGCAGTTAAAACTGAGAACTGAAAGAGGAATAAGGGTTAAGCAGATGTGAGAAAGTGGGAGATAAAAGGAATTTCCCTGCAGAGGAAGAGCAGGTGCAAAGGCCCTGAGGTGGGAGGGGAGAGTGAAATGTCCTTGAGGCCTGGGAGGAGGCTGAGTTCCTCTTGGCATTTGTTCCCTCTTCTGGCCAAGATCAGGGGCAACTGTGGTCCCTGAAGCTTGCAACAGCCTTCCAGAAGCCAGAGGCCTTTTGGACCCAAGCATCTTTGACTTTCAGGGCTTTATTCCCTATCTGGGGCCTGGCCTAAGTCCTGGTGGCATGGCCTCGAAGTCTTTCAGCCATTTCTTGCAGCAAGAGAGTCTGTCTTTCCTGAAGTCTACACACACCTTTTGATGTGCTTCTTGGATAGGAGAGGAGTTTCCTGCCTCCCTAAGGGGGCAGTGAACTGTGTATAGTTAACCCCTTGGAACCAGACTTACCTAGAAATGAATCCTCTCTACTTGACCTGCTGCAAGGTAGATACCTTTGCACCTCATTTTCTCACCTGTAAAATGGGGATAATAAAACCTGATTAAACAAGGTATCTCTCAGCTCTCCTCCTCACTCCCAGCGCAGTTCGGAACTTTGGTCTCTCTTGGCCAAATATCTCCCACCTTCGGTTTTTATCTTGCATGACCCCCTCCTCCAGTTTTTAGCCAGGTTGCTCCTTCTGAAATGTAGATTTGATCTCATAACACCTGTAATCATAATCCTTCAGTGGCTCCCCAGGGCTCCCGACAATGGGCTATCAGAAACACTGGGAAAATTTTTATTTTTAAAAATTGTGGTAAAAACACATAAAATTTACCATCTTAACCTTTTTCTTTTTTTTAAAAAAAGATTTTTATTATTTATTTATTTGTGAGAGAGAATGAGAGACCACGAGAGGGAGGAGGGTCAGAGGGAGAAGCAGACTCCCCGCTGAGCAGGGAGCCCGATGCGGGACTCGATCCCGGGACTCCAGGATCATGACCTGAGCCGAAGGCAGTAGCTTAACCAACTGAGCCACCCAGGCGCCCAACCTTTTTCTTTTAAAAATTTTTTTTATTGTTATATTAATCCCCATACATTACATCATTGGTTTTAGATGTAGTGTTCCATGATTCATTGTTTGTGCATAACACCCAGTGCTCCATGCAGAACGTGCCCTCTTTAATACCCATCACCAGGCTAACCCATCCTCCCCACCCCCCAGAACCCTCAGTTTGTTTTTCAGAGTCCATCGTCTCTCATGATTCGTCTACCCCTCTGATTTCCTCCCTTCATTCTTCCCCTCCTGCTATCTTCTTCTTTTTTTTTTTCTTAACATATATTGCCATCTTAACCTTTTTTAAGTGTACAGTTATATTGTTGTGCAATATAAATACAGAACTTTCTCATCTTGAGAAACCAAAACTGTGCCCATTAAACAACTCCCTATACCCCCTCCCCGGGCCCCTAGGAGCCACCTTCTGCTTTCTGTCTCTGTGAATCTGATTACTTTAGGTACCTCATGTAAGTGGAAACGTACCATATTTGTGTTTCTGTGACTGGCTTATTTTACTCAACATACTATCCTCCAGATGGGCATGTTCAGCCGTTGTTGGAGCCTGTGTCAGAATTTCCTTCCTTTTTAAGGCTGAATAATATTCCATTGTATGTATAGACCATGTTGTCTTGATACCCTTCCATCTATTAGTGGACACTTAGGTGGCTTCTACTTCTTTGCTGTTGTGAATAATGCTGTTATGAGCATGGGTGTATAAATGCCTCTCTGAGACCCTGCTTTCTTTCTTTTTCTTTTTTTTTAAAAGATTTTATTTATTTATTTGACAGAGAGAGACACAGCGAGAGAGGGAACACAAGCAGGGGGAGTGGGAGAGGGAGAAGCAGGCTCCCCGCAGAGCAGGGAGCCTGACGCGGGGCTCGATCCCAGGACCCTGGGATCATGACCTGAGCCGAAGGCAGACGCTTAACGACTGAGCCACCCAGGTGCCCCGACCCTGCTTTCAATTGTTTCGGATACATACCCACAAGTGGGATTGCTGGGTCACATGGTAGTTGTGTTTTTAATTTTTTTTTGAGGCACCACCATACTGTTGGAAAGGCCTTAAGAAATGTGGGTGGCTAGGTCCACCGTGGGAGATGCTGGTTCAAAAGGTCTACATGTGATGTGGGGGGGTGGGGGGTGGGTTGAGAATCATGTCTAAGTTCCTGAACTTGGCACACAAACTCCTTGATGGTCTACCTCCCCAGCCTCTGCCACTGTCTGCTCATCATACATGTACCTGAGAAATACCCATCTGCTTGTTTCCTGGACACAGCAAAGCACTTCATTCCCCCAGGTCTTTGCACGTGCTCTACCTTCCAACCAGAGTTCCCTGTCTGTCTTCTGTGCCTGGAACACCTCAGTTCATCTGGCAAAAATCAGTTCAGATATTGGTCACCTTCATTAGGAAAGCCCTTCCCTTCCTGGTCTTGGCTCCTCATGGCCGGCAGCCAAGCTAAGCCCCACAGAGGAGGGAGCAGAACCAGCTCGGTCCTGTAAGGTCCACATGGAGAGCCATTTCTTTATCCTCATCAGCAGATTTGGAACAAAGTTTGAAACATACACATATGCCATGGTTGCCATGGTTACTGTAAAGGCATTCTAAATGTAGTTGATTACATAATCAGCTGGAATAACTCTTCTGGAAAATAAAAAGTTCTGACCCTCCTCTTGCAATGAACCCAAAAACTGTGGGTGGTGACTCTACATAGAGTCCCTGTGGAATGATGCATTTGGGCTGTGGGCAGCAAGAAGACTTGCCTTAAAAGTGCCCCATGCTACCATCCAGGACAAAGCCTTCATTCTTCAGATGGCAAAACTGAGGCCCAGAGAGGAGAAGTGACTTTCTTGGAGTTCCACAGAGAGCTGGAACCTGAGCCAGGACCAGCTCCACGTCACCAGTGGCTGGTGCCATGGGGGCAGAAGTCCTACACTTGCTATGAGGCAGACCTGAATATAAACCATGGTTGTTGGAGCCTCAGTTTTTTAACTTGGCATATTACTTGTATTAGTCAGTGTAATTAATGCTGGTTGCTATAACAAACAACTCCAAAATCTCAGTGGCTTTTCAACAA